TTTTTTACTTGAGAAATTATTTCTTATCTGATTTTCTCTATACCTTTCTGCAGTTGTTTCTTTACTTCCAATGCTATTATTTCAGAGACTTCATGTGTGTGATTTCCAATTTCTTCTATGCTAGTGTCTTCTTCATTTGTTCTGGGTGGGCTCCGGGTCTGAGACTGCATTTTGTTCCTTCTCTTTGTCATTTTCTACAGCACTGTCTTCTGAACTTTGGTGTAGAGCTTAGATAGAGTTATTACCTTAGCACCAGGTCTGGATCTACCAAGTTCAATCTCATCCAAGTGAGTGTGGCTTGGATCTGGTTGCTGTACTCCACTTCTTCCTATTGCAGCTCTTGGAGTTGAACTGTCTGTGCCACTCTGGCAAGATGTTCTGTTCCTGAATCAGCTGGGTGGGTCTTGCCTCTACCCTGTTTGCAGGGAGTTCTGCTGCAGATTCCACACTAGCCCTGGGCTCTGGTTTGAATCAGGATCTGGAGGGCCCCGGGCAGTCTCACTCACAGGCCGGGCCTGGGCTCTGGGTTGAATGAGGATTCAGTGGGCCCCAGGTTGTCTCATTCACATGCTGGGCCTGGGATCTGGGTCAAATTATTTTTGTATTTTAGGGAAAGGTCTACAGGGTGTTTAGGGTCTCACTATTAGGCAGAATTACTATTTGGTTTCCTTTAAAAATTTTTTCTCTTTGTTTATATTTTCTCATTTGGTGAGAGCTCATCCTTGGGATTCTATTTATTTTCTATGGTTTCTTTCAGTTCTGTGAGCATGTTCAAGACAACTGTTGGACTTCTCATGGAAGTTGCAATTTCTTCTTTTTTTTCTCCCCTGTGAACCATACATATGGCTTTGAGCTTTTCTTTCTTTTTCTTTCTTCTTTCTTTCTTTCTTTCTTTCTTTCTTTCTTTCTTTCTTTCTTTCTTTCCTTCTTTCCTTCCTTCCTTCCTTCCTTCCTTCTTTCCATGCCTCATAGTTTTTGTTGTTGCCATGTGTTGTTAAAAACTACATATTTTTGAAATTACAATGTGGCATCTCTGGAAATCAGATTCTCCTCTCTCCCAGGTCTTGTGTTTGCTGCTTTTGTGGGTGATGCTGTTTACTACTTTAAGTGAATTTCTCAATAGTTTTGATAAAGTCTGTATTTTCAATCAGACTTTGATTTGTATTTTCAATCAGACAAAGATTTGTTCCATGAAATCTATGTTCTCTTAACTTGTGGTTAATGAATGCTTTTATAGTTTCTTATATTTTTGGAGCCAAAACTCAAAAGGAAAAGTACTTTAGTGGAAATCAGTATTGCAGATTGGTAGAACAAAATGCTCTGTCTGTGTTGGGATACTCTTTCAACACTTAGCGGGGCTGCTGATAACTCTATCTTGCCCTCTACTTTTCACTTCCTCGAATCTAAGGTTCACTCAGAGAGGAACATTTTGGGGTTTTCTAGTACCTTTCTTGGCACACATAGAGTTCTAGATGTGTGTGTGTGTGGACATTTTATTTTTTTTCTGATGACACAGGAGAATGAAACCAGGGCCCTTACACCAAGCTACATTTTCTGTCCTTTTTTCTACGTTGCATTTTGAGACACAGCCTCACTAATTCACTAATTTGCCCATACTGGGACTGAACTTGCTGTTTTCCTGTGTCACGAAAACTTCCTATTTTCCTGACTGATGCAATTACAGGACTATCAGTTATATGAAAGGGCAAAACCCCATATTACCCAATACATCTTCATTTCCAACCTCATCTTTTCCCAACATCTTAGTTCATCTAATGCTGTCCCAACTGTTGTCCACAGGCCTGAGTATCTGTAGCCCAATATTTGTGCTTTTAAGTGATTTTGGAAGGTGCTACTTAGGAATACTCCCAGTCCTGCAAACATTTCACATAGGCCAACATGAAGGCAAATTCTTCCACCAGTACTTCCAGGAAGCAGCAGAAAACTTGTGATGAAAATAAACACCAGTTCCTTGAAAATAAGGACAGTCACAGAAGCCTAGGTAAGCTGGAACCCCCACAAACATACATTGATGTAGGAGCCTTGGTGAGCCCTACACTGTTACCCCACTATCAAAAGAGCTTTGACCAACCACCTCACCATCGTGAAAGGCAGGCTGAGCCCTGGACAGCTAAAGGACTTGGTGAGCCCTTCTCCACCCCACCTCACCACAATCAAGGGAAGTTCTCTGAGCTGTGATCCACAAAATTAAAACAACACTGAGATTCTATTTCACCCCAGGAAGAATGACTATCATCAAGAAGTCAACCAATAACAAATGCTGGAGGGGCTATGGGGAAAAGGGAATCCTTCTCTACTGTTGGTGGAAGTATAGACTGACACATAATGCCAGTACTATGGAAATCAGCATGGAAGATTCATCATAAAACTAGGATTAGAGGACTGGGAGATAGCTCAGCAGCTTAAGTGCTTGCCTGGCAAGCACAAGGTCCTGAGTTCAATCCCCAGTACCGAAAAACAAAAATAAAACAAAACAAAACAAAAAACCTCTCCAGAGAGATAGGTAAAACTAGAATTAGAAATCCCACTGAACCCAGCTATGCAGAAGAACTGAAAACATCATAGCACAGCAATATATGTGCACCCATGTTTATAGCAGCACAATTTCTCATAGCCAAATCTTGGAAAAAACCCGGATGTCCATGAGCTGAAGAGTGAATACAAAAGATGTGGTATTACTTAGTTATAGAAAACGATAAACTCAAAGTTTTTGTAGGTGAATAGAGGCAACTAGAAATCATACTTATAAGTGAAATAAATTGGACCCACATGTATAGACATCATATTTTCTCACTAGTGTAAGAAGCTGAAAGAGTAAATAACATTTGAAAGTACAATAGACATTGTGAAAGGGAAAGAATATGTCCAAAGGGAAGGAACAACTGGGATGAGGAAAAAGACAAAATAGAGAAAGAAGAAAGGGAAAAATACGCATTTGTGTGTATATACAGGATAGCTTGGCTAATTGCAGCAATTTCTGCTTATCTATTGAAAGAAGTTAATGCTTAAATTTTTTTCTTCTCCTTTTTCATTCCTTAGAACTTTGTTGACCAATTTTACATGCTCGTATCTGGTAATCTAAACAATTAATTTGAAGACTACAGCATGCAGTATAACAACCATTGTTGAATTCCTGTTATTTAGTCAAATTCGGTATCATTTCCAACTTTTTTGTTTTACTATTTTTTATTCTCTTAATAACAATAACAACAGTAATAATACTACACTGCTCCTTCTGGTGCTAACATCCTGCATCCACAGCGCAGTCAGCTGTCATCAAGCCATCACTGATGTGGGGTGGGGAACCGAGCATGAACAATTTAAAATTCTATTGTTATTGCAAGTTTTTAACTGGATCCCAGAGTTTTGTAGAACTGTTTTTGTGACATCCTTAATTGCTTCTGAAAATCTGTCAAAAGCTTTGCTAAATTTCTCTGCAGAAATTTCCATGACTTCAGGTCGGCAAGATAGCTCAGAGGACTAAGCGATCCCCAGCACCACATGCATGCCGGCCCTGCCCCTGAGCACACTGAGCTGGCCACAGAGTCTGGGTATGGTGGTGCATGCCTGTAATCCCAGTGCTGTGGAAGCTGAAAACAGGAGGATCGCTAGGAGTCAGAGCTGCACAGTGATACCCTGTACCAAAACAAAAAGAGAGAGATAGATAGATAGATAGAGAGAGAGAGAGAGAGAGAGAGACAGAGAGACAGAGAGACAGAGAGACAGAGAGACAGAGAGAGACTGACATAACTGCTAAATGTCTAACAGTTGAAGCAGGGCTGAAATGTTTGGCTTTTTAAAAAGCTCTGTGGCTTTGTTTGGTGTTTCATTGTAGCTTCCACACTACAAATCCCTGTAGAGCAGCTATGGTGTCACTTTTCTGGTTGTTAGCATTTTCTTTTACTTTAATCTCTGTTTTAATTTTGCTTTGCTTTAATTTCTTGTGAGTTTATGGATGGCTTTAAATATTTTTTGTACAGCACTGCTAAATCTTGAAAGATGTTTCATTTTTGAGACAATCATGATTTCTTCTCTTAATATTTATTCTTCTATACTATAAATTTAATTTTTCTTCTATTCAAACTGCATTTATTTTTTCCAGTATGCATTCATATTGCATTCAATCTTTTTTATATGACAGCATGGAAAGTGTTACCACACCAAACTTCCTATGTGTGGACATCAAAGCTGATAAACACCCTAAAGCGTTGATTACCTAACTAGGTCACATCATCATTTCTAGCTGCGTGATCTTTCTTTTTGATGAGATCACAATCCATGTTTTTTTTCTACAAAATAAACCACAAAGAATTCTTATAAAACTGAGCCCAGCAGAATCTATTATAATTTTTAAATGATATTTTAACATATTTCTTGTAATAATTGTTTCTAAATAGCAATAGAGAACCTGACACACACTGAATTATGTGTAGTATGCTGGAATGACATGCTAGTGGAAGCAATGTCTTTGGGGAGAACGAGACCTTAGTTAAACCAAGATGGTAGTAGGGATGCTAAAAGATGAGGTCAATATTTTGTAAATTTGCTGTTCACAGATTCAGGATTTCACAGGGCAAGTAGAAGGATTTCAGATGGGACATTTGGGGTTTCAGCAAAGACTATGTATATGGCATGTAGTTCAGTAAAAGTGGCTGATTACAGGAGGGAAACACTGGGTGTTCACAAATGCAATGGGAAACTCCCATGGACCTGCTCTTGCTGTCTCTGGGGAAGGTAGGCTCCTGGCTAATGCCTGACATCTCTAGCAAATGTAGCTACACTGAGCTCAGTGCCAAGGATGTAAATCATTCTAGGTTTGTGCTCGCCGTGAACAGCCTGAGACAACAACAGTGGGAGGACAGTGATTTTTCTGCATGCACTTAATATCTGATTCATGTCCTTGTTGTGTTTTCTCTTCTGATCTTTTGCAATGTTTCCTTATAACATGGTGTTATCAACTTTGTGATTTTTTTCCTTAGATGTCACTGCAGAAATTATTAAAGAGCGAAGGAAAATTGGGTTCACCCCCAGAAAAATATCTTTCCTCAAAAAAACAGGTCTAAGGAAACCCTCAGCAAGACCTAGGTAAGACGTAGTACCGGGGTATTGCAACATTTCCAAGCACAACCTTTCCTTCTATGTGTGGGCAGTCTCACGTTTTATTCATGTATTGTACATATACGAACTAAGAGTCCTTTGAATTTTAAGGTGTTTGTTTTCTGATATTGCTATTACGCAATGTATATTTTTTTATTTTAAAAAGGAAAAGAATCCAGAATCTCAAAACAACATAATAGGAGAGTAACAATAATTAATACGTAGTGTGTTGTTATCTTCAGAGTAGTTATTCAGAGTACAAGATATAAACCTGAGAGAGCGGCTGTGGCAGTGCGGGGTGGCAGCAGGCCGTGAGGTGGCCGGGAGGAGGCAAAGTCGGCGGAGACTACGGCTGGAGGCAAAGCTGGGAAGGACAGAGACAAGGCCAAGGCCAAGGCCGTGTCGCGCTCACAGAGAGCTGGGCTGCAGTTTCCGGTGGGACACAGCCACGGACATCTGAAGACTCGCACTACCAGCCAGGGACCAGCGGGTGCCCCTGCTGCGTCTGCAGTGCAGCAGTCCTGGAGTACCTACTGCCTCAGTGCTGGAGCTGGCAGGGAAAGCACGGAAGGATTAAGCGCATCACACCACGTCACCCGCAGCGGAGATGAAGAGTTGGAGTCCCTCATCAAGGCGACTATCGCTGGTGGTGGTGTGATTCCTCACATCCACAAATCTCTGACTGGAAAGAAGGGACAGCAGAAAACTGCTTAGGGTTGTCACCCACCCTCCACTGCCCCGTCCTTGTATTGTCACCTGGACAGAAGACATCACTGGGAACACATAGCGTTTTTAAAAGCAGTTAAAGCAAATGCGTATGCAATGCTGTAGACATAAACAAACGTTGGTCTGTTCTTAGACACCAAGTTTGATAAAATACTTCTCACATGGTTACAGTTGTGTGGTGATTGGCTAGGTTTCTCCCATGTGTTTTATACAAAAATGGAGGTGATAAACCATTTTTTAAAAAAGAAAGAAAATTTTTAAAAGATATAAGCATGAGGTAATTGTAGAATATTAGCACAAACCTTTCTTTTCAATGAGCTAATAGAAACTAGCAGTATAATTATTGTAACTATTTTGTATATATATATATATATATATATATATGTTTTTCCTTTTCTTTCTTTCTCCTTTCTCCCATCACAATTGCACTAATTGCTGCTCTTATCTTTAAATGTCGTGCCTTGTAGGTGCTCTGAGTTTGATTTGTTCTTCTTTTTCTAGAAGTTTGTGGCTTAACATCGGGTTGTTTATTTGATCTTGTTCTGTTTTCCTGATGTGATAGTTCATCACTGTAAATTTCCCACAGAGGACTGTTTTCATTGTGTCTCATAAGTTTTGGTATGTTGTATCAGCATTATCATTTAATTAAAGATTGGAAGAAGAAAAAAAGAGAAAGAAATGCATCCATCTTTGATTTCCTCTGTGACTCATTGGTTGTTTAGAAGGAAGTTGTTTAATCTCCATGTTACACAATATAATCCAATATGAGTAAGGAACTTGTATGCAGTGATTTTCCACTTATTAGAGTAATTTTACCCTGTTGTATGGGGGGGGGCAAGTTAAGAGAGATGGGAGTAGGATGGAGAGATAAATGAGGTTAAATACATTAGGAGCAAGGCTGGAAGGCAAAAGATGGTGATCCAAGTTTTGGGTAATTGTAAGATACAAGAGAAAAGTATTGGAAGAGAAAACCTAGAGGTATTAATGTGAATCTTAAGGAGAAGAGACAATCTTTACTCACACAAAAGTATCATAAAATCAAGTGAGGTAGTTGACAAGAGGGAAAAAGAGGTAAGAGAAGTAAACCTAAAGAAAGATTAGAGACCTAAGTCATGCAGTAGAGAGAAGAGAAGAACAAGAAACAAAAATAAACCACACAGAAAAAAATTGAACAAACATATAGAAAGAAAAGCAAAACAGTACAAAATAGAACAAGGAAAAACAAAAACAAAAAAATTTAAAACTACCAACCCAACCTCATACAAAGAAGAATACCAATCAGACAGAGAAGAGTGTAAGTAGTAAAATTCCTCTAGTGTCTATGGCTCTGTGGTAGATCCCAGAAATGTGTACTCTAGCCAAATTTGCAGGTGAATTTGTGCTGGGTGTGAGTCTGATCTTGGCCTTTGGACTTGCAGGATGGAAATAGTCCTCTATGGCTGGAGTTCTCCCCAACCCTTTAGGGGGAAAAATAAAGGTCCTACCCATCTGCTTCTATTCTACATGTCTTTGTGCATAAGCATTACGGTTCTTCACTCACCAATTGTTGGCTCACATTGTTACTGTTGCTTCAGAATTTTCTGGGCTGCTACGTGCACATGTCCATCTTGTGTGCCCCGGCCAGGACTCTGCTGTGCCACTGGCAATCTCTTGAGCCTTCAACGCCCTCTTGATGGAAGAAGGGGTGACCAGTGATCTCACAAGCCTACCCAGGCCTTCTGCATAGAGATCAAGCAACATATATTATACGATAATTTTTTAATTTAAACAATCTTCGACCACCTTTGACATCAGTTCCTATAGATCTACTTCTTTCCATAGTGTGATTTATTTAGTTATATCCTTTTTATTACATTGTCTTTTCACTGCTATCAGGGTACCACAATAAGCACTTTTGTTCATGTGTCTTCACCTACTTGTGTTTTTCTATGTTTGTAGTATAGAAATGAGAGAATTATAACTACCACTGCTCTGCTTTTTGGTTAAGCTCAAGTGTAGGAAAGATCTAACTAAAGGAAATTTATCTGAGGAATATAAGAGTGGCTTAACACTCAATGCCCAGTTAAAATAATAGGCCACATTAATAAATAAAATCTGAAGAAGAAAATGACTTGAATGGAAAAAAATCACTAGATAAGATCAACAGCAGATTCAAGTTGACAGAAGAACCAATGAACTTGAACACTGCTCAATAAATTTTGTTTAGTCTGAGGGAAAAAAGCAGAAGAAAAAAAAAAAAGAAACAGAACCTGAGCGCCCCAAGGGACATAATCAAAAATACTGATACTTAAGTAATGGAAGTATCAGCAGAACAGGAAAGGGGAAAAGGGACAGGAAAGGATTTGCATATATAATGGCTAAAAGTTTTCAAACTTGATTAAAACTGTTAATTAAAGCATATAAATTGCTTAATAAACTCTAAGAAGATAACTCCAAGAGACCTACACCTAGATAAATCATAATCAAAAAGTTGAAATAAAAAGTAAAGAAAGAAACATTGTGTACTGGGGAGAAGAAAGCACTGAGCACATTTAGAGGAACTGCAGAAAGATGGAAGTCTACACCAGAAACACAGGAGGTCAAAGATGGTGAACTAACACTTTCAAATTAAATTCAATTGACATTATTAATAAATGTTGTACTATAAATCAATGAAAGAAAGAAAAAATAGAGAAAATTGAGGCAAAGAAGTTTCAGGGCTTTTTCTTTTTTTCAATCTCAACAAAAAGCCCAGGCTGTTAGTTACATTGACAAAAGGGGAAAAGAAGATGACCAAGAGAAAAATGAAAGATCATCAAAATCAAATGAAAAGACTCCTAAAATTAATAAGGTCGTAAGGAAATTCAGGGAATGAATTAGACAACTTTAATGCAATAAATAAATTAATGAATCTGACTCAAGGAGTAGACAAATGTGAATAAATACATAACAAAAAGCTGAAATATCAGAATATGTCTTGACGTGAAATTGGGACTCCTTATTTTCAAGTTGGATCAAATCAGATGATACTTTTGGTTTTTCAAAATTGTCTCACATGGCAAGCCTTAGACACAAAAGATTTCATTAGAGAATTTCATAAAATATTTAAATAATACCAATGTTCCAAGAGGCATATAATTCTTAAATATAGTAAGAAGGAACACTTGTCAACTTAGTCTCTGAAATCAGTATTATCCCGGTCACCCAACTAGACAAACAAAACATAAGAAAGCCATAAACAAACACCTACTCTTGAATCTAAGTGTAAAGCTTCTCAACAAATTATTGGATAATCAGTGATATATTAAAAAAAAAAAAGAAAAAGTGTAACCTAACAAAATTTATGTATGAAATTCTAGGTTGGCTTAACATGCAAACCTCAGTTCAAATAATGGGCCATATCAATAAAATAGCAGGGTTAACTTACATTATCTTGATTGACACAGAAAAAACCTTTTCACAATCCCCAGCACCTACTCATGATTAAAAACTATCCGTAAAACTAGAATAGAAACAAAATATGTAATCTTCATAAAGTGCATCTATAAAAACCTGATACTATAAACAATTCAGATGTGTCATGCACATGGAACAACCTTCCACAGGAATGGAATCACCTACTGCAAGTGTATACTAATAAAAAATAAAAAGCCATGATACTGTGTGTATTATCAATAACCTAGAAAATATCACACATAATGTTAATAGGTACATAAAGGAAGGAGAACAAGTTGGTCAACACAAGGGTATGTGTAGAGAAGCTGAAATGATGATGATGATGATGATGATGATATATAGGTGAGGTTCCTTAGGCTCTTAAAATCTAGAGTGGAGCATATGGGAACATAGTTTTACACTGTCAAGAAAACCTGAAACTATAGAAGCACAGGTTCACCAGGAAAAACTATCATGCCAAAGGAAAAAGCATTGTGAGTAAACAACAAAGTCACCATTTTTCAAATAAGAAATCATCAAAGGACATCTATAAATATGATCAGTAATTTCTGGTCAGTCATGCTGTGCCTCATAGAAATGGTTGTATTGAATGGGAGTTGCTTTAAATATATACTGTAAAAGGAGTGTTTCTTTGAAAAAAAATTATCCCCCTGTCAGATACTTCCTTTTATTTTCCTTTTTTTTTTTTAATTATTCAAACAAAGTTTTGGAAGGATAGAGTTATTGAATGCCAAGGGGATAGACAGGTGTCAGGGATTCATCCGCCCTGCTCTTCGCGCATGACCATGGGCTCTCCAGGATAAGAGGTGCCCTTCCCCATCTGTGAATCAGAAAAGAATCAAAGGTATGATCCCCTTTTCTCCACCAATGATACTATCCTATTTTACAGAAACTTGGCAGAAGTCCTCCTAAGTACCCAGCATCTGCAGTTTTTCAGGGAGTTCCTCAAACATCAGAAAGCCGAGACCCCTTTGCTGTTCCTGACAGCAGTCCAGAAGATCAGCATGGAGACCAATGAAAAGATATACAAGTCTTCCTTGGAAAATATAATCAAGACTTACTTCCATGGCAAACAACCTCCTGGTATACCTCCTTTCCTCCTGGCCCTGATTCCTTCTCCCTTTAGTGTCTAGGAAGGTATCTGTAAAATAGTCTTCCTCCAGGGAGCCCCCACAGAGAAAAGACAATGTTGGCCACATGGGGACAGTATTGATACCAACATTAAGAGGGATACTGAAAACAGAAAGCAGTAATAAATTTAAAGTCTTACTACTAAATTAAGAGCAGTCAAATGCAAGACATTTTCACTTATAGCCTCTCATTTAATTTTATTTAATCCTGAAAAGACAATTTTCAGGATTCTATCCAGAAACGTAGGCATGATTGGTGAATCACACTGAAGTTAATTAGCTTTTCTAATTAGCAGAATTTGAATTCAAATCTGAGATTTTGCATCATTAAATCAAAAGTCAGTACAAAGGGAATGACTAGGTGTTTGCAAATCTGGAGTGCCCACTCCCTGTGGATTGTGAAGAGACAGGTACCGGGAAAGAAAACTGTCAGCCTGAAAATACTTCGTTAATTTTTTTTTTTTTTTTTTTTTTTCAGAGCCGGGGACTGAACTCAGGTCCTTGCGCTTGCCAGGCAAGCACTTATTCAACTGAGCTATCTCCCCAGCCCCTACTTCTTTAATTTTGTCTTATTTTCTGGCCCATGTAACTCTAGGTTGGCTAAAAGGGGAGGTTACAAATAAAATATTGACTTGTAATTCAAATGAGGAGTGAAAATAATCCCATACTGGAGGTAATAAGACTATAACAAAGCAATGAAGTTAGATCTTCCTTATTTGTCACAGTTGAACAGATGGAGTATTTATATGGTTTTCTTCTTTCATTTGTATATTTGATACAGGGTCTCACTATGCAGCTCAGACTCATAGTGATCCTCCTGTTTTCAGCCTCCCCAGCACCGGGATTACAGGCATGTGCCACCATACCCAGGCTCTTTGTGTGGTTTTGCTTGTAGTTAACCAAGATAAGGGCATAAATACTAAACTAAGAAAGGTAAAATTAGCATGTCATTTTCAAGAAATATTTATTGGTTTAGTTGCATGACATTGAGTTCTGTAAATCATCTTGAATGAGCTAGAAGAAAAAGAAAACCCCCCAGATTTTACCTTTGGGGCTGCCCTTATGACTACCGATAGTCTTTGATTCCTCATCTGCTCCAGTATTTTAACTTTAGTCTTTTTACTCCTACATTCTTTCCTTAAACCAAAATCGTCACACCAGCTATAGAAATGAGTCTTTTACAAGTTTATTTTCCTTAAGAGCTCACCTTCCAAATTTGAATGGAGTTAAAGTAGGACAGTATCTTATCTATAAATGCTCTTACACATAACATTCCAAATGTGCTCTGAAGATTTCCAAACAAAGTGTGGACATCTCAGTCAAGACAGATTCTGAGTAGGGAGCTGCGAGACTCTGAGACTAAGAAATACACCAGCGCCCTCGGGAATGGTGGCGGGAAGGAGGGCCTTTTCACTCTCTTGCATATTTTTAGAAGAAATGCTGCAGTGCAATGTCCCCCTTGTCAAAGAAGTGGCTCAGATGCAGCACATCAGCACCACCACGCTGCTGATGCTCCAGAGCTGCGTCACGAAATCTCTGGAAGAAAGATGGTGAGTGTGCCCTGTGAAGGTGGGCGTTTTCTCACTGGCTTTCAAAGGCCACATGAATCAAAGTCTCATAATTCATTCTCATTGTCAGAGACCCATACAAAGGAAAAGATCAAACTCATATTGAACCTTCCTGCCTGCATGTGTGTCACATCCATGTGCGTTCATGCGCGTACACACACACACACTCTCTCTCTCTCTCTCTCTCTCTCTCTCTCTCTCTCTCTCTCTCTCTTTCTACTTGCTTGCTCCAAGGTTCTAATGAGGTATCATCCAGTAGTGAACAGAAAAGATCATTAACAAAGGGTTGAAAGAGTATTTCTAAATATTCCACCATCCTCCGATTCCCACTGCAATGTCCTCCAAAATCTGAGCTAGATTTATCTTCTGTGTGCCAAATTTTTGCCTTTTTTTTTTTTTAATATTTTTGGTCCCCCTTCTGGCAGGTTTAAAGAATATCAAGACCTGTTCCCACCTCATCCTTCAGAGGCAGAAAGTGAAGTACAGCCTTCACAGAAGAAACCTTCAAAGACGACAGTAAACCTGCAGGAATTCCAGGTCAGTGAGGAAGAGAGGGAACACAAGACATGGGTGACAGCAAAGCCACTGCGCAGGCATTGTCAGCTGTTCAAAAGATTATCTCTATTACCATAGTTACTAAAATCATTACTCCTGGGGGATGGTTTTCAGTTTGGTTGTTTTTTGTTTTCCAGACAGGCTCTTACTATGTAGCTCAGGGTGACCTTAAATAGACTGTTGCCTCAAACTCATGAGGCTCCTGTTGTCTCATCCTCCCAAGTGCTGGGATCACAGGCATGTACCACGCCTGGCCTGGAGGTGGGATTTTTAAAGCCCTCTTTTACAAAGGAATATTTGAGGTTCAAAGAAATTGTCACTTGGGAATTTAAAGAAGTCCCTACCTATGCTGCCTGTGATTACAGACAAGTGAGTGAAAAGCACAGGGATGGAAGCCAAAATGTTACATCTACCAGTCACTTCATCTGGGAAGGGTTGCACAAGCCCCTGACCTGAGTTTCCTGACCTTAATACTTTGGTCCTTCATAGGAGTGTTGTGAGGATTAAATGCAATAAATTCCAAGTTCTTGGCACATAGTAAACGCCTAGTAAGTAGCAGCTATAATAACATATATATCATACCTCTTTTTCTTTCCTCAGAAAAAAGGTTGGATGAAAATGGTCAGCTTTATCAAGAGCTTTTGCAGCTACCGAAGATTTATATCAAATCCCAGGAAGTGCCAAGAATTTGTAGAGTATCTTCACCTGGAGATGCACAACAAAGAGAGTAAGTCACCTCTCCCTACTGATACTGTAGCCACATGAGTCAGCCAAGGTCCTCACATGTGAGCTGGAGTCCAGCAAGATCCCCTGTCCTGGGGATCAAGCCAGTCCAAGCCAGTCCAGACAATGGTTTCTGCTCAGGAAGCCAACAAGAGTGTTGAGTGATGCATCTAAGGCATTGTGAGGTCCCACACTTTACAAAATCATTTTTATTATATTGTTTAATTTGATCCTTTAAATATATTTAGTATTTTATTAATACTTGTCAATACATACCATTAATGAAGAGATAATCAAAATTGCAGGAATATATAGTGCACAAGTGAAAATCCCTCAAGCGACAACATTGTAAACCTACAATAAGACTAAGAAAGTAAGATTGGGACATAAGATGGCCTCTGCCCGGTGGCATATTTACTATGGTAGCTCCAGGAACCCACAGAGTCTGGAACAAAAGAAGTGCTTACATGATTTTAAGGATTTGTCATTACCTTCCCATCCTGTATGTAACAGGGCACCCGACAGAAATCCATTTATAGAAAAGGGAGCACCATACCTACATCAGTCCCCTGGACTAAACTCTCGGATGAAGGATTTCCAGGAAGATTAGTTAACTCTAAATCTGGATTAGACATTTTTTTTTTCTTTTTTAATGCCAGCCAGGGAACTAACCAGGGTGTGCTGGTGAGACCCAACCCCAAACAGTTCTCTTCTCAGACAGGGATCCCTATGGGTGGATTTCCTTGAATAATTCCCAGCCTGGAACTTTCTAAAGTATGTTTTATTTTTCTGACATGTACTCCAAATCTTCCAGAACTTCTATGCTTTTTTGTTTTACTTCATTGCATCTCTTTCTTTATTCTATTTTTATATTATCAATTTGACTTTCTCTTTGTGTTACTTTTTCAATTTATTCCTGAATTACCTCCCAGATAAACTTTTATTTGTTTGCTTTCTTCTTGTGGTATTGGGAATTGAACCCAGGCCCCATACATTGAGCTACATCCCAGCACCTTTTTAAATTTTGTATTTTGAGTCAAGGTCTCCCTAAATCGCTAAGCAGTAGGCTTACATTTGTGCTGCTCCTGCTTCAGCCTGCAGGGCACTGGGATTATAGGCCTGTGACACCACACCCTGTGTCCCTGAAAAACCCTGGTTAAGCATTACTAGAGCCAGTGAGCCAGTGTCTTACACACTTCTCTTGTTGCTAGTGCAAAATACCTGAGACCAAAAATGTATTTCTTTTTTTAATTTTTATTTTTTATTCTTCTTAACGAGAAAAAAGATAAAACAGCAGTGAAACAGTTTCAAATCAGGTTAGTAGGGCAGTTACAATGATGAATACATTGCATATTGTTGTCTTCGTAGTAGTTATTCAGAAGACAAGATGCAGATGTGACATTTTGTCTAAACAACAACAGGACAAACATTTCTTCTCAATAAACTAAGAGAAAGTAGCTGTATACCTATCATAACTATCTCATATATATTTTTTGTTTTCTTTTTAAAACAAAACAGTCCTTTATTTATACTTTTGCAAAGTTAATAACATGTGACACAAGGTTACCTAGTGACTAATAGCTGACCTTAACTAGACAGGATGTTTATCTCAGGACTGAGGTAGCTTGTTTGCTTTAGGCACTGAGGCCCAGTCCCATCTATACACATTTGATCAATTTCCTCTCTTCAGTGGCTCCCAACATATCTGCTTTTTTTGTTTAGCTTTGTCAGAGATGGATGTTCTGTTGCAATTAGAGAAGCTGTATTTGGAAAAGTCTTTAAAGGACCCTCTCATATTTGATACCAGTCCAAAGACTGTAGGCACTTGACTTCAGCAAAATAACTCAATATAGTCCAACAGTCCATAATAGTAGTGAGTTATCAGCACAGCTGACAATTGTCAGAAGTTGTTAACTTGAGCCTTTTACAGCTCAGCATATTAATATAGCTTTACTTTTCATACCTTGTTGTTACACTTTTCTGCTGGATGGTTAAGACTAAGTTAAAGCAAGACCTATATAACTAAAAATGTAACTTATGCTATCTAACAAGGTCAGTCAAATCCCCTCAGGATTTACCCTGAAATCATGCACAGCACCTTGTAGATCTTTTGTCAGTGGCAGCCATCTGGATGAATCACAGCCATTGCCTGGCCAATTTGCTCTCTGTGAAAGCCTAAGAGAATGTTTTCTTTCTAAATGACTCTTCTGAGGCACATTATACATCGTTGATCACTTTCTTCTGTGGCCTCCTTGATCAGAAAATTTGGGACACCACTTAGTTACAGGATGTCACAGCAGAGGTTCTTCTATGTTCTGAGTCCTCACTGACCATGAAGGGCTAGGGCCAAAATATGGACTATCCTTTTAGTCCATCTATCTCTCTAATTTTTGGTCTGCAAACTTTAGGTGTTAAATATCCAGAAGAGAAGCTCAATGATATTATTACCCACTAACAGAGGCAGTTGAGCTTAACATCACTATCTGTCTGAACATCAAACACCTTAGACATAAAATGGAACTGCTCTTTTGCAACAACCATGGATATTCTAAAATTTAAATCCCTATAGAATGTTAAAAAAACAATTACCCATTTTTACACAGAAATTTAGAAATCAAACCATATACAACACTGTAGTAGGACAATCCTATGACATTTTTTCTTGTCTCTCATTTTCTTTTATTACCTTTTTTTTAACAAACATTTACTTTAAAGAGAGTACAGCAATAGTTGATATGACATTAGAAGCAGTACACATTGAGAAGACCAAATTAACAGGTATTTCAAGCTTGGTTTTCATATTACACATTTCTGTCCTCAATGTAGTTGCTTAGTTCACACTTATCAGCATATAGAGTTAGTCAGGTTAAAAATTCTACCCACTAATTGGTATTTTCAAAAACCTGATGGAAATTCTTAGGACGGTTGCCTGAACCATTTTGTTTATATAAATGTATGGTTTTGCCCCTAACATATTTCCTAACTTTTCTCCTTTCTCTCTCTTTGTTGTTTAATCCTTAAGTTATCTCTTTCCATTTAACTGTGTTATATCTTTCAATTTTTATTTCTCCTTTTGAGTTTTTACACTAGGGAAACAATACAATATTTACACATGTGGGCCTGGCTTATTTCACTTATAAGTATAGCTTCAAGTTGCATCCACCTACCTATGAAGGCTTCAAGTTTATTTTTTTTATACTTGAGTGAATACTCCATTGTATAAAAACATCACATGTTTTTCATCCATTCCTCAGGTGGTGGGCATCTTGGTTGTTTCCAAGATTTGCCTATCACAAATTGTGCTACTATAAACATAAGTGCACATATATCACTATGATATGATGTTTTCAGTTCTTTTGGGAAAATTCCCAGGAGGATAGCTGGATTGAATGGGATTTCCAGTCCTTGTTTTTTGAGAAGTCTCCACACTGAATTCCATAACAGTTGTACCAGTTTATATTCCCACCAGCAGTGGAGAAGGACCAGCAGTGGAAAATGGTTCCTTTCTCCCCACAGTCTCTCCAACATTTACTGTTTGTTGATTTCTTTATGATAGCTATTCTTTCTGGGGTGAGATGGTATCTCAATGTTGTTTAATTTGCATTTCACGAATGGCCAGTGATGTGGAGCATTTTTTCATGTATTTATTTGCCTCTTGTATTTCCTCCTCTGAGAAGTGTGTGTTCATCACAGAGGCCCATTTTTGGATTGTGTCTTTAAATTTTGGGGCCCTAATGTTTTTTAGTTCTTTATAAATTCTAGAGAGAAGACCTTTTTCTGAGTGCTTCATAGTTAAGATTTTTTCCAAATTTGTGGGTTGTCTTTTCACTCTGTTGGTAATTTCTTTTGACATGCAGAAACTTCTCAATAAGAGGAGTTCCCAGTTGTTAATTCTTTCAAGTATTTCCTGTGTAGTTTGATTTTTGTTCATGAACTGTTTCCCTACCCTATGTCTTCAAGATTTCTAACTACTTTCTCTTTCAGGAGACTTAGTGTCTCTGTTTTAATGTTTGGGTCTTTAATCCATTTTGATTTTGCATGGTGATAGACCTGGGTCAAGTTTTAGTTTTCAGCATGTAAAGAACCAGTTTTTTCAGCATGGTTTGTTAAAAAGGCTATCTTTTTTCCAATAAACATGCTTTGGCCCCTTTGTTGACGATAAGATGACCGAGTGTGTTTGTAGTTGTTCTGCATCTTCTATCTATTCCATTGATCCTCAGGTAAATTTTTTGTCAATGTCATGTGGATTTTATCACAGTAGCTTTGTAGTATAACTTCAAATCTGTGATTGTAATGCCTCCTGCCTTGTCTTTGTTGCCCAGGATTGCCTTTACTATTTCTAGATCTTTTCTGGTTCAAAAAAACCATATTTCTATATTCAATTTTTTAAAATTTTATTTTAAAGAGAATAAAAAATAAGGCATTAGAAGTGATATAGAATTTTTTAAAACAAGATGATAGGAATTCAGCAAGGGCTGTGAACAATGACCTTGAAGACTGTTGTCTTCAAAGTAGTTGCTCAGGTTACCAGATATAAGCATATAAAATTGATCAAAATAAAAATTATAAGGGGCTGGGGAAATAACTCAGCAGTCTAAGTGCCTTCGTAGCAAGCACAAGGTCCCAAGTTTGATCCCTGGTACCATATGCCACGCTGCCCCAAAACCCTGGGTGTGGCGGTGCATGCCTCTAATCCCAGCCCTGGGGAGGCTGAGACAGGAGGATCACTACAAAACCAAGCAGTATATCAAGACCTTGTACCAAACAAATGAACAAATAAATAATCTTTAATATATTTTTTAAAATTTTAAGTATTGACTACTCCCTTCAATAAACAAATAGAAATTAGTAGTACAATCATCCTAGCAATCCTATGTACATACATGTGTGTTTTTTCCCTTCCTTCTTTCTTTTCTCCTTTTCTTGATCCCAATTGTTCTTTCTTTTTGAGAAATTTCTGTCCTTTGTACAATATCTATTGTACCTTTCAGATTTTATTTACTCTATGAGGTTTTCACACTAGGAAGACAATATGATCTTTATACATGTGGTTCTGATTTATTTCACTTATGAGTATGGTCTCTAGTTACATCCATTTACCTATAAAAGCCTCAAGTCTATCATTCTTCATAACTGAGTAGTACTCCATTGTATAAAAATACCACATCTTTTTTATCCATTCCTCAGTTGATGGACATCTGAGTTGTTCTTAAGATATAGCTATGACAAATTATGCTGCTATAAATTTCAGTGCACATAGATTGCTATGTTATGATGTTTTCAGTCCTTCTGTAAAGATGCCTAGGAGGAGAATAACTGGGTTGAATGGCACTTATAATCCTAAATTTTAGAGGCATCTCCACACTGATTTCCATAGTGATGGCACCAGCCTGTACTCCCACTAACAGTGGAGAAGGATTTCTTTTTCTCCATAGCACCACCAACATTTTTTATTGGTTGAATTCTTGATGTTAGTCATTCTTTCTTGGGTGAGATGGAATCTCAATGTTGTTATAATTTTCATTTCTCAAGTAACCAATGATATTGAACTTTTTTCATATGCTTATTTTCCATTTCTATTTCTTTATCTGAGACATGTATATTCATCTCAGATGCCTATTGTTTTGATTGGGATTTTGAATTTTGGGGGCCTGATATGTTTTAAATATTTAGTATGTTCTAGATAGAAGTCCTTTGTCCAAGGAAAAGTTAGCTAACATTTATTCTCAATTAGTGAGGGGTTTTTTTTCACTCTGTTGGTGACTTCTTTTGATGGGCAAAAAATTTTTAATAGGATGAGGTCCCAGTTGTTGACTGCGTAGTATTTCTTGTGCAGTTTAGTGGTTATTCATGAACTCTGCCTACTCACATATCTTCAAGATTTCTACCTACTTTCTCCTCCAGGAGATTTATTATTTTTGTTTTAATATTTAGATCTTTAATCCATTTTGACTGTAGTTTAGTGCATGGTGATAGACATAGGTCTAGTTTTATTTTTTGATATATGAAAAGCCAGTTTTTCCAGCACCATTTGTTAAAGAGGCTATCTTTCTTCCAATGAATGTGTTTGGCCCCTTTGTCAAAGATAAGGTGGATGAGTGTGTTTCTAGTTGTGTCTGAATCTTTTCATTTGTTCCATTGACCCTCAAGTCTGATTTTTTTTGCCAGTACCATGCTGATATTTATCACAGTAGCTTTGTAATATTATTTCAAGTCAGGGATTGAGATGCCCCCTGCCTTGCCTTTGTTGGTCAGGATTGCCTTTTGCTATTCTAGGTCTTTTCTGGTCCCTAATGAATTTTTGGAATTGAGGTACTGCAAGAGCATTTTGATTGGGATTACATTTAATCTGTAAAATAACTTAGGAAGCATAGCCATTTTCCCAATGTTGGTTCCTCCTATTCACAAGCAATGATTATCTTTCCATTTTCTAAAATCTTTGATCTCTGTTTTCAGAGTACTGTAATTTCCACTGTATAGCTCTTTTACTTCCTTTGTTAGATTGATTACTGAGTCTTTCATTTATTGGGGTGCTATTATGAAGTGTTTGTTTTCCCTAATTTCTCTCTCGGTGAATTTTTTGTTTGTGTATAGGACTGCTGTTGATTTTTGAGTGTTGACTTTGTATCCTGCTATGATACTGCATTTGTTTATTAATTATAGAAGTCTTTTGGTGGAGTTTTGGAGGCCTTCCACATAGAATAGAATATCATGTCATCTGTGTGTAATAATAATTTAATTTCTTGTCTTCCAATTCTTATTCTTTGTATTTTTCTCTGTGGTCTAATTGTTCTGGCTAATGTTTCCAGAACTATATTGAATATGAGTGGTGAAAGTGGATATCTTAGTCTTGATCTGATTTTAGAGTGAAAACATTATTTCTGTCCATTTAGTATGATGTTGGCTGTTAGTTTGCCATAAGATTGACTTTTATAAGATTGAGGTAAAGACCATCTATTCAAATTTTCTGTAAGGTTTTTATCATGAATACTTGACTTTGTCAGAAAAATTTTCCACATCTATTGAGATGATCATGTGATTTTTGTCTTTGGCTCTGTTGACAGGGTATATTATATTTATAGATTTGCATATGTTGAACCATCCATGCTTCCCTGGGATAAATCTCACCCGGTCATGGTGTACCTTGATTTGATGTTTTCCATTTGCTAGTATTTTATTGTGGATTTTTGCATCTATATTCAGTAGGGAGACTGGGTTGTTGTTCTCTTTTTTGGTTGAGTCTTTCTCTGGTTTTTGGTGTCAGTGTAATACTTGGCCTCTAGAAATGGGTTAGGAAGAATTGCCTTCCTTTCTATTTCTTTGAAGATTTTGAGGAGTATTGGTGTTAGATCTTCTCTAAATTTCTTGCAGAATTCATCTGTGAATCCATCCGGACCTGGACTTTTCTTTGCTGCTAAGTTTTTAATTACATTTTCCATTTTATTAACTGATATTGAGTAATTAAGAATTTTTTTATCTTCTTGATTCAGCTTTGGTAATTCACATGTGTCTAGGAATGTCTTCATTTCTTCTGTGTTTTCTATTGTGAGAGTAAAGATTTCCAAAGTGGATACTGATTATCTTTGTATTTATTTTGGGGCTTGACTTGCTCTTCTTTTTCTAGAAGCTTGAAGTGCAGCATTTATTTGTTTTCAAATAAATTAGGTTATTTATTCTGTTTTCCTAATGTAAGAGTTCACTGCTATAAATTTCCCTCTGAGTACTGCTTTCATTGCATCCCCCAAATTCTGGTACGTTGTATTTGAAATTTTGATTGATTATATTGTTTAATTTCTTCTTTAATTTCATCTGTAACCCATTGGTTGTTCGTGAGGGTAATATTTAATTTCCATGTGTTTAAGGAATTTTTGCAGTTTTTTGTCATTAATTTCCAATTTTATTGTACTGTAGTCAGATAATATGCATGGGACAATTTCAGTTCCCTTGCATTTACTTAAGCATGTTCTATGGGCTAGTGTGTGGTGTATTTTAAATAACATCCTATTAACAGTTGAAAAGAATGTGTATTCTGATGTTGTTGAGTGGAATATATTGTAAGGGTCTACTAAGTCCATTTGTTCAAAAGTTTGATTCAGTTCTGTTATTTCTTTGCTAATTTTTTTTGTCTAGCTGATCTCTCTCTTTGTGAAAATGCCTTAATATCCCCCATTACAATTGTGCTATTGGTTATTTGACTTTTTATGTTCATTAAGATTTGTCTTATGTAGTTGGGTGCTCCCATATTTAGCACAAAATATTTATAATTTTTATGCCAACAAATTAAAGAGGACATTTTGGCTCACAAATTGCAGAAGTTTTTGTCAGTTGGATTGATGGAAGGGCCTGGGCAGAGGAAAGCTGCTTAGCTGATGGCATCCAGGAAGAGAGAGTAAGCAGGGAGCTAGGAAGGGATACAGGGACCCATTTCCTTTCACCAGACTCTGCCTCCCAACTTGTCATTGAGATATAAACTTATCAGTGGACTGACTTGTTGATGATTATCAGAGCCCTATAGTCAGTCACCTCCCAAACTTCCACCTACAAGCACACAAGGCTTTAGGACACAGCTAGATACAAACCATAACAACCACACTGTCTGTTTAGAATTTCACATCACTATGTTCAGTCTTCATAGTCTCTGCAGAAATCTAAAGGTTTACCTTGTGTGATTTTGTTTGGAATAGACAAGCACCATGAAAACATTCTTTAGTAGCAGGTTACTTGTTATTGTGGTGGTTGTTGTTGTAAGTGTGATGAGCAGACCATTTGCAGCCTATGACGTCCAAGTGGGCTGCACCCCTGGAGGAAATGAAATGACCCTTTCAATAGGCTGAAAGAATGAGTGTACAGTCTCCTTTCTTCACTGTAGTTCTGCCAGGTTCAGATGATTTCCAGGCTTATGAGTAACTTGATCAAGCCAGATTGTAATCTTTTCTTTCTTCTCCAGATTTCTCCACATCACCCACTATATCAGGGCATCAAACTGCACAGTACACAAGTATTCGGGGTGCAGAACAGGAGAAAGAAGAAATAACCCTTGTAAAACGTCGTATACCTGGCCAGAGGGTTGTGGTCATCAACTTTGCAGTTAATGATTTATATTTCCTTTCTGAAATTGAGAAGTAAGTTGATGCTCTTTCCTTCCACCCATGGCTTTCCTGCCTTATGCCCTCCTAGGAGAGCTTGGCTTGACCTGTAAGTGGCACAGTGATTTCAGCACCCACAAGTGGGACTCTGCTGCCAATCCCGATGACTGTGGTCACTTCCTCAAATTGTTCCATGTGATTATTGCACTGGGGCTATATCCCAGGGCCTCATGCATGCTAATTGAGCGCTTCATCCCTGAACTACATCCTACCCCAACCCTTTTGAATGATTATACTTCTTCTTTCAATAATTTAAATTCTCTGCATCACACCTAATTCAACAGGAATATTTTTAAACAGCTATTTGCCTTTGCTGGAACATTTCATACATTCAAATTTTTTCTCATAAAAATGACATTTTTTTCCCTTTTGATGTTCATATTTTGTCATTTTTTCATGAATCGCAAATTAAGACTAACAACTACAACAGGTAAAACTATTTAGAAAGAAACATGAACAATTCCTGGTAAACATCTGCCTCGAATAGCTGGGAGAAGTGTGAACAGGTACTAAAGCTGGCCTACCAGTCTTGGCTTTCCAAGGACAGCAATTAGTGGGATTTCCAGAAATGTAGAGCACCCGGTTAATCATACTCCAAACTGGTTAAAAGATCATTCACTGCACCCTAGTGAGGGATTTAGCTTTGTTCTAAACATGCCTGTTGGTTTCTCAGTCTCTTCTGAGCTCAGGATTTGGCATTCTAGCTTCAGAAAGACATGTTCTCTCAGAGACCCCACACCTAAGTGGAATGGTAGACAAAGCATAAAGTTAAGAAGTGTCTTGGGGTGGTCAGTGTTAGGTAAAGGCTGACATGGAAGCGCACTGAGTTCTTGATTATGGTCTTTCAGAAGATAGGTCACCTAAACTGAGTAGTGGTCACCTAAGCTAAGTGAAGCATGAGTAGGTGTTAATCGGATACCAGGCTGTGTAATAGGGAAACAGCAGGGCACAAAGAGATGCCTGTTGGAGTGGTTAGTATCTCCTAATGTTGCTCTGATCCAACACACACACACACACACACACACACACACACACACACACACACACAGAGTTTCTGCGCCTTTGCTCACACTTTGTAATCCAGAGTAGCCCATTGTAAAGTATAAAACCAGAGTATATTGCTGTCCAGCACAAAATGTTCCAATGGCTTTGCATTACTATTAGAATGAAACCTACACATTCCATTGCCCGAAGTACTCTACATGAGCAGGACCTCCCTGCATCTCAAGGCCTGCCTCATGCTACACAGAAAAAAAGCAAGCTGGCTCCTGCTGCAGGATCAGAATGGGTGAGGCATAAGGAGTGGGACAAAAAGGGGGAAGTCGGGGTGAAAAAAATGCACCTGAAGGAGCACTTACCATGTTATCTGGTGTATGGTCTGTGCCCGATCTGTATTTTCTAACCCTGAGTTGAACCGAGCAAATGAAGTCACACTCTGGCTCACCTTTGGCCCTACCATTTCCAGGTCAGACATAGGTCTAAGCCAAGCGCCCTATCTAGTTACTGATTTCATGTTCTCCATGCTGATTTCTTGCTTATTGTTTTTGGGGTTTTTGTTTGTTTTTTGGTAGATTTAATGATTTGGTGAGCTCAGCTCAATTGCTGCAGGCCAACCGGACATACAACGAGAACGATGTGATCCTAATGCAGTTCAAACTTAACATTATCCTAAGGCTCTTCCTACATGCTGAAGCTCCTCCAAAGCTGAGGGTGAGGAAGACTCCCACTGAACTTCAGCCTTTTGCCGAGAAGCATCCCCCCCCCCAATAAGTTCCCTGAAAGCTAATTGCAAGGCATCTCCTCAATCCTGGACCAACTAGTTGTCCTTTCCTAGCAAACCCACAAAAAGTTCTGGCTTCCACAGAGAGAGTGGTCTGAGGGACTCTGGGCCCCAAGGGAGGCTGTCTGCCTTGCCGGGAGTCTCTGCCAGTGACCAGCTCCCACTCTGGATAGGTGAACATCACGGAAGTCCAGAAGGATGCCATCCTTGCTTCCATTGCAGAGGGCCACCTAAACCGGAAATTGTTCCACGGAGCTATCATGTCAGTCTTTCCCGTCATCATGTACTTCTGGAAAAGGTAACTAGCTCCCTTTATCTGATGACTTCCAAGTCAAGAAAATAGATTTCTGTCTTCCCCTCAGCCTTGGTTTCATGGTTGCCAGCTTCCTGGTGAGTGTGATGCTGGTAGTTCATATTCTATATGCCGCACGCCACACTCCAGGTCTCACACTGCACACTGATTCAGAGGTTGGAAGACAGAAGCTAAGATCTGGAATGCTGAGTTCCTCGCCTCTTCTCTTCCTCTGCTCACCAGGATCAGGGCTGTAAGGTTTCCTTAAGCCCATGTTTCTCACCTAAGGGTGAGGTGGACCGTATTTTCTTGGGGAGAAGTTCTCTCAAGGTCATACAACTGCTTATGCTTAGGAGCCTCATGGAGGGAGTACTCCAGAAGAGCTTTAATGTTATGCCAAATCCCATAATCACTTCTGAGGGCACAAAGTTTCTAGGCTCCAAAGAAATACAAAAATCTTAGCTCAAGATAAGCATTCCAAATAACAATTGCTACCCAGCACCTAATTTTAGTTCTCCTAACAAGGTCTAAATAGAAACTCATTTTGAGACTATGGGGAACCAGAAATTTCTAGAAGGCATATGCTTTTCTTGTCTCGACTCAACAATAAGTTCCCTCCCAATGTACTGCATTTAGAAAGACAGGCTGATTCCATGAGGGTTTGAATCCCTGATTTTCAGGCAGTTATTTATTTACTTGCTTCCCTATATACTTTATAGAGAGATTTGTACACATATATTATGCAAACTGTGTTTGTGTATACTCATCCAAAGGAAATTCTCAACAATGCTGTGAGTCAGTGGAGAAAAATATTATTATCCCTATTCTACAGCTGAGGAAATTGAGGATCAGAGTAGTTAGAGGACTTGCCTCAGATCACTTGGTAAATGGTAAAAGCAGGATTAGAAATCTGGTCTCTTAGGCTCTTGCCACCATAAATAATCTACTGGTGGCATATTGAGAGGTTCATGAGAGAGGCACGATTTAGGGAATGTGATGGGAGAAAGCAACTGTGATAAAATAGTCTTCCCCTTGTGGAGGGAAGAGGGTGGCAGCAGGCAAGACCACCAGAGCCAAGGCAGCATGAAGATAGACTTAGCTTTAGCTAGGGCTCATCAAGGGGTCCAATGCCTGTGTCAACTAAAGTGGGGATTTCAAGGGGCTAGGGCCCAGGGAAGAAGTGTTGGGGGGCCTTCTAGGGAGCAACAGTTCTCAGGTAACCATCAGCATATAGGTGGAAGGAGTCAGGGTCTATTCCAGGGATAGTCCATAGAAGGTGAAGGGTAGCAAGGCTCTTAGCAAGAGACCAATGGAAGCCAGTCAGATAGTTTGCCTGCCTCAGCTAGTCTACAATGGAGATTTTATCATCTGGTGCTTAAACAAGTGCCTCATACCTGGGTGCAGCAGATTCTTCACACTCAGTCACTGTGGTTCCAGAAGAAAGTCCCCACCTACAGCCCAGGCCAGACCCCTGTCCTTCAGAACAGGTCTGGGCAAAGAGGAAGTCCCAGAAGAAGGACCTCTGACAGGAAGCCCTTCCAGGTCAGAAGGTCTCCTTTTCTCTGTTGGACACCACATACTAATGGTGAGGAATGGCCCTCCAGACCTCCCCTGTCCTCTTTGTTCCAGTCACCTCTGCTGATTATTTTCTCCCTGTAATAAGAAACCATTCTTCCCATAGGTTTTGCTCCTGGAAGGCGATTCATGCTTATTTAAAGTATGTAGGGAAGAAGTGCAAAGATAGAAAAATTCATTCTAAACCAATAAACAAGAACCCCCCTGGGAGTTCAGGTAAGAGCTACCAGGGCCACAGCCCTGTGCCCTAGCAACCCAGACTTGTGAAGAGACAGCCAGGCCCTGAAGGGCCAAGCATGAGACTTCACAGGACACAGGAGAAATTGTGGAAACAGCAGATAGCTCCTCAGTGTGGGCCTTGCAGAAACAGTGGCTCAGAGGGAAGGAGATCTTACCTGGAGTTGGCAGTGCTGCTGAGGGGATGCCTCACCATGTGCCACTGCCAGCAGTGGATCTGAGTCCCTGTGCTCTTGCCTGTTACATGCTGCATGACAGGCATCTGGGGGAGGTGGCCTGCTTCATCCTTGCTTAGGAGACCAGTTGCTCCCACTAGCTCTTCAACCTACAATTTGAAAGCAATTTTTTATAGTTAAGTGAAAAATAATTAAAAACTAGATATATGGTCTAGTTTTAAAGTGATAGTATCTTTGTACATTGTCTTGCTTGCTTTTCTCATTGCTGAAACAAAATACCTGACACCTACAGCAGTAAAGGTTTATTTAGCTCACAGTTTGTAGAGGTTTCAGTTCATAATCAGCTGGCTCCAAGGGAGGGGGCTTGGCAGAGGGGTAACCATTATTGGCAGCAGAGAACAACCAAAGCAACAAGGGAAGGAAGTGGGAGAGGGAGAGAGATGGGGAAAGAAAGGGAGGGTGGGATGGAGAGAGACAGACAGACAGACAGACAGACAGACAGACAGACAGACAGACAGACAGACACAGAGAGATAGAGCGAGGGAGAGAAGTCACTGTCCCTCAACTTTTAACCAGTTTGCAGGGATTAGGGTGGTGCCAATCCACTCAGTGGATGATCCAGCATTGCGCTCTGCTGGATCACCCACCCCAGTCCCAGCATTGCACTATGAATCAATCACCCACCCGAGTTTCAGCCACCTCCAAAGACACTATGACCACATGGGGCTTTGCAAGGCATCTAGACACAAGCCATAACGTACATTACATGTTATGAAACATGAAAATATTTAGAAATAAAGATAAAAGGGTTGCTGGGCATGGTGGTGTATGCCTATAATCCCAGCACTCAGGAGGCTGAGCCAGGAGGATGGTTGTGAGTTCGAGACCATCCTGGGCTACAAAGTGAGCTCAAGGCCAGTCTGAACTGCACAGTGAGACCCTATCTCAAAAAGACAAGAAAAAAGGGGCAGTTGATTAGGTTACCTTTGGTGATTGTGATTATGAGGGACTTATATATTTATTATTAATTTAATTTATATATCATATAATTATGTATTATGAGTCTATTAAAGTAGAAGTAAATATGTACATATCTATATATCTATATATCTATATCTATATCTATATCTATATCTATATATTCCCCCCCCTTGGCACAGAGCCTGTAGACCCAGTCTCTTTCCCAGTGGTGAAACACAGCTGAGGTCACTACTTGGACCAAGGGAATTTTAAACAAGGGAAGCAGGGTGGACAGGCCAGTTTCTGGGGAGAGCAAGACTATGTCTCTGTCTGTGGAAGGTTCTGCAAATCAAAGAAAACAGATCTGTGTATCTGGGGACATGACCAGCAGCAGAACAAAACACCGAGGTAGGACAGGAATCTTAAAGACAGGAACTACCTCTGCCACACATGACGGGGCTGATCATTCTCTTGCTGCACATATGTGCCTCCTACCCCATTCTTAGTGCCAGCAAGGGCCCCTGAACCCTCAACTGTCAGTACATCTGTGCAGGCAACTCGGGCTGGCTGTAGTGTCGGACTGTTGCTGGTCAACAGAAAAGACCTCATCTGCCTCCCCAGCTGAAGCAGATGATCTGTGAATATTTTTCATTTTCTTTGTCTTTGCTTTGCAAAACGTTACGGCAGCAACCAGAGACCAACAATCTCTTTAGCATCTACAGCAGGATATTCTTACGGAATATTACAGGATATTCTCAGAATAGAGGCAGGGATGGAGGCTGAAGAAGAGAATAGTAAGATAGAAGAAAAGCAGGTAGATAGGGCAGGCACACACTTTTCATGCAGAAGAGGGAGACCATGTCCCTTAGTGTGAGCTGAGAGGCTCACACTAAGGTTTATTTCTTGGAGCTGCCCTTCAAAGAAATGGGTACTCAAATATCACCTGGCATCAAAAGAATGAAGAAGGTAATCCTGAATTAAGCAGGGAGAGGGTCAGGGGATACCCTAAATTAACGGGATAAGATCCTAGGCCTGGAGTATTCTTATGAATTTAAGAGGTGTGGAACTTTGCTTTCCACTCTTACCTGATTTCAGATACAAAGGACTGGATTTAGATAATACACTCTTTAACACTCTATTTTGAAAACTGTTAGGCAGAAACTTTCTTGCTCATATAGAAAGATTTCTTTTATCAGGCACTGTTATAAGGGCTTTTAATAGGTTGCCTTCTTTTATTTCCAGGTGACCACAATGTTTTAAGGTTTACCCTGCTCAGAGGTATTGAGTGGTTGCCGTCCAAGCAGCGGGAGGTACCAGCAAGTCCAATTCCAAATTGTGAGTTCGAAGCCCACTTCTTGCAAAACTTTGCAACTCTAATAAAGGACAGTGATCTCAGGTCAACTGGGCAAATGCCCTTAATGACCAGGAGACCCCAAAATGAAAAGCGAGTTGCCAAAGGCCACGCAACTTGTGAATGGCAGAGAGGCAGAATAAAATGATTCTTTGGGCCTCCTCGCAGAGCACTGAGCACTGTTCTCATTTGAATACTCAGGTCTTCTCGATTCTCTTATACTTCCTTGAGTCAGCTGCTCCCTATGTCTGCTGACTCGTCTGCCCATTTCAGGCACGATGTATGATCTTTACTAAGAGACCACCTTAATGTGCCAGTGGCTACTCCCCCCCCCACCCCAGACTACCTGCTGGCCTGAGCAGGGCCTCCATTCCTTACCTTCTGTTTCCCAGGAGCCCCTGCTGCTGAACCTCTCTCCTCTGCAACAAGCCGTGGTCCTCGCCTCCTATACTGAGAAAATTGTGTATTTTTCCCTTCTCTGTCTTCAGCCTCAACAAGTCAATCCCATTCCAAGGCACTAAACTTGGCTTTGTTTCCATGTAGTTTCTTCCAATAAACCTTTCCTTTCTGTCCAAATTATTAGATTTTATATGGAGGAAAAGTTGAAGACCCTGAGGCTCTTCTGCTTCCTGTGGCACAAACTGCCAGTTTGAAGGAGCTGCGCCTCTGTGTGTGTTCCTGGGACTGAAGGAGGGAAACCACCATGGAATGTTGTCCATGGTCCATGGGGGTCCAAGCAGCCCTGATCTACTCTCCTTGTTTTATTTCGCTGGGTTTATGAGTTTGGCATCAAAACTTTTAAAGTCAGGTGAACTATCTCCTGGGATGAAAGAATATTATATTACAGCATACAAATACAAGCAGGTCTCAGAAACATGCCCAGAGCATCCTGTCTGTACTGTCTCCTTCCCAACCCCTTCCTCCTAATATGGGCTTTTGCCAGCTTCAGGTTCTGCAGTGATGGTGTCAGAGTTCTGACTCTGTTTTTCTTTTTATTTGTCTTTAGCTTCATCTAGCAAACTCACCCAATCAAGAGTTGCGTTGTCTACTGTGCAACTGTATCCTGCCCAGGGGTAGGCATGAGCCAGAAGTCTTCTTCTATTTAAAGCTACTATGTCCAAACATCCTGGGAGAGGGGAGAGTTCCCCACTCTGACGTTCCTCTGCATAGAGAACCACGATGAGTTTGCTGCCCCTGAAGGGCCTGCAGCTAGGGCACTTAGGAACAATTTTTCTTTGGGGCTTTTTCCTCACCTCCAGCTAGAGCAGGTATTTTTAGGAAGTTGGAATCTCTGATCTATCTTCCAGCAGTACACTGTTGCCAGAGGAAGAATTTTCTAGATGATCTTTTTGTGCCAACTTCCCACACACTCCAGCTCTTTGGGTAAGATGAATAACAGGAAAGTAAGAAGAGATGTGATATTGGCAGTAAGAGCAGAAAGGATTCAAGCCTGCCCAAATCCAGTCCAGCTAACTCATGTCTGTACAGGCATCAAAGTGAAATTGAAGTTTGTTAGGCTTCAGAGAGGTTATAGATCCTGGGTACCATTGAAACCACAGCTGAAGGGTACCTACAAGTCACATGAAGGTCAAAGTTATATATAGGAACCTCTAAATGGCAGGCCTGGTTTCCTTGCCAGGCCTTCCACCTTCTCTGGCTTGGTTCCAGACCTGTTCTCCCAGCAAGGACATGGATCTGTCCAGGTGCCCTTTGCCCAAGGTGACGCCTGGGAAACAAATCAAGTGATGTTGGTGCTCTGCATATCAGAAAGGCAGTAAGTGGCCTCAGAGCTAGCAAACTATTAACAAAGAAGGTGGGAGTGAGAAGGCAAGAAGCCCTGTGATGAAGCCAATGGGTTTGTGTTCTGGACATTGCCATTCATAAAGAGAACAAACCAGCACACAGTGCAACTCCAGCTACCTCATTGCCATTGTGATCACTGGCTATTCTTTTCTCTTCTTTTAGGAAAAAATTATCCCACACCAAAAAGGAGAAGAAATAATCAAGCTAGGCCCCCAGCAGAGGCAAATCATCTCTCATAGGCCTCCAGTAACAGAAATGCTCTGGCACCATCTGCTCCTGGGAAGATCAAGAAGGAGGGTGACCACTCGATATGGTGGTGCCAGACTTCAGTGGGTGAGATGGGAGCGGACAGCGTGGGAGTCTGGTGGCCGTGGCCTTCTACAGTGGTTGGGTTTCACTCGGTTCCAGCCTGGTGTGTGCCCATCAGAGGTTGTGGAATGCATGGGGTTGTCACTGGACACTATAGGAAGCACTTGGTTCCTATTATCATCAGTGATAGTAGGATCTCACATTTACTCAATGCTCAGTGTCCACTGTCTCAGTAGACAGCGCTGTGAGTAACTATATCAGAAATGCTTTATTTTTAAATAGAAGGAGAAACTAATGCATGAGAAGGTAAGTGACTATCCCAAGATTATTAGGTGATAAATATCAGAGCCAGCACTGAAACATGCCAGTATTCTAAGCCTTATTCTCATGCTATGGTAACCATCTGCACAACTTTTCATGCCTAAAAAGCATAACTGTTTCTTAAAGATCTATTCACTCAAAGACCAATGGAGAGATTCTTTGTAAAGATTTTGGCCCAAATTATTGCCATAATTTTACTGTAACTGACCCATTTTCTGTCCTAAAAAAAGTCAGGAGTAAAATAACAGTATTTCTCGAACACTCCTTCAACTGGGATGACTGAGGAAAATTTGGTTCAACATTTTTGTAGGCTACAGAATACAGGAAGCCTAGAGAGTTTACCAGAAAACCCTTTCAAAACTCCTGGCCAATGAGTCCCGCTATGCAGACGCCCTTTATTTCCTGCTATGCAGATATTTTTTATTTCCTTTTCCAATAAATAAAAATGTTGCAATGCCAGACTGAGGCCCATGAACTCTAGGACTGAGATCATCTGGTGGGATTGTGACTGCAGGAGGTCTGGGGTAGGCAGGGCCCCTGTGGGGTGCCTCAAGATCCCAGGAGAAGACCCATCTGGGAAATAAATGAAGGCGCTTCAGAGCAGGACTTCAATTCATAGAAACAGAATCCAAGTTCCTAAAAATTAGACAAAAACTAAAGCAAGATCCCAGGAAGAGAATAGAGGAAAGCTCCTTTACTGGAATTAAGGTACCAAGAAACAGCTTAATCAAAAGAACAAGAGCTCTGTGCATGAAGCCAGAGAGGATATTAGGCCAGCAACAAATGGACAATGCACTAGTAAGATACCAACTCCAGGTCACAGGATGAAATACCTTGTGGGTATTGGACTGGGACACAGCTGAACCTACACATAGGGGTTTTGCTTAAAGAAAGGAAATGTTCATGGTGTCAGCCCCACTCCCGGGACACTCAGACAGCTATTGAGACTAGGCATGGTGACACATGCCTGTAATCCCAGTGCTTGGGAGGCTGAAAAACAGGAAGGATCACTACAATTCCAATATATGTGGTGACACCCTGTAGACCCTGCACTAAATACATAAACAAAAAAGAAAAAGAAAGAGAAAGAAAGAAAGAAAGAAAGAAAGAAAGAAAGAAAGAAAGAAAGAAAGAAAGAAAGAAAAGGTTCAACTGGCTCTTTAGAATCTGAGATCTTTGCCTTGATTTCCATTTCTTAATAACTTCCCCATCCAACTTCACTCATAATCAAGTGTCGCTATCCAACAAGCATGTTATTTAAAAGGCCTGATGCTCAGTAGGATAAGTGCTTGACTGGCAAATGCAAGGATCTGAGTTCAATCCCCAGTTCCCCCAAAAAAAAAAAAATAAAAAAATAAAAGGCCTGATGACATTTACTAGACTCATAGTGTATTGGAAAAGAATTCATTCTTCAAGCCTTGCTGAGGTCTTACTACATCCTGGGGCTTCTTATTTTCTTCCACAAGGGGTTCCAGTTCTAGCATGTTCTAGTGCAGCTCTGGGCTGCTGTCACAGTGGCAGTCACCCGGAGAATGTGGGCAGGTAACATGAGTAAAGCAATGCATGCAAGACTGTTAGGGATTGTAGAAACCATAATAAAACTTCAGAACATGTCTCTAAAACAGTGACACCAAAAAAAAAAAAAAACAACAGTGACACCTTGCTCAACCAAGTGTTATTAAAACTTGGCGGGGGTGGGGGGAGGAAGGGAAGGAAGGACAGGGGGACGATGGGAAGAAAAGGAGGATGGTTAAGAAATTCAAAATTCCTGTAACACTGCACGTCAAACAAAAGTTGACTTGGGAGGGCCGGGAGATGGCTCAGTAGAATACGTGCTTCCCTGGCAAGTGCAAGGGTCTGAGTTCGGTTCCCAGTTCCGCCAAAAAAAAAGTTGATAGGGTAAGATTGGCCTACAACCAATAAATTGCAATCTTTGCTTAGCTTTTCCTTCCTTATCGAAATTAGATTAGGGTGCTAGGTCTTGCGTGATCAGAAAATAAAAAATAGAAGGAAGATAAGTCCCACAATAGAGCCACAGGGACCACTGAAACTTAAAAGAAAGGTCAACAAAAGGAAGCCAGGTTTTTTTTTTTTTAAAAAAAAATTTCTGCTCTTCTTTGGTCTCTGTTAGTTTATATTGCTATCATAACAAGTTACCAGAAGTTCATCAGCTTAAAACAACACAAAATTATTATTCTACAGTTGTGCAGATCAGAAGACTGACTTGGAACTCAGTGGGCTGCTGTCCAGATGTCAGAAGAACTGTGTTCCCTCTCAGAGGTTCTAGGGGGGGATCCTTGTCCTAGTTCATTCTGGTTGTTGGCAACATCCAGTCCCTGCAGTGGCGGTAATGAGCTCTCTCCTTGATGGTGTCGGCCTGCCCCATTCCGAGCTTCTCAGAGGCCCCCTGCATTTCTTGGCTCACTGCACCCCTCTCCCTCTATCTTTAATGTCAACAATGGTGAGCCAAGTCCTTCTCATACTTACAATTTCTCTTCCCCAACCCCACACCTTCCTAGTTCACTCATTTGCCCCCAAAATCTCCTTTAAAGAGCCCACTTGGGTAATGTAATATAAGCTGTCTTTTAAGGTTGCTAAACTTGATTCCATCTGCAAAATTCCTTTTGCCTTGTAAGTTAACACCTTTACAGATTCCAGGGATCAGGATATGAGCATCTTTGAGTGACTACCACAAGGCCATTACTGTGCTCCTTTCACCAACTTCCCTAGAAAAGAAAATATAAACTCAGACTTCTGCCTCCACTGCCTTCTGAACTTCATTTTCTTTTTTTCTCATGCCTTATCTTTCTTATTATAGTTTGCCAGTCTTCCTAATTCTTCCCTTCTTCTTCTTGTTCTTCTTCTTCCTCTTCCTCTTCCTTCTCTTCCTCTTTCTCTTCCTCTTCCTCTTCCTCTTCCTCCTCCTCCTC